GGGAGGGGAGGGGAGGGGAGGGTGCTTTTTAATATTTTTGGAAGAAAAAAAAAACTGTGCTTGTATAAGATTGTGTTGACTTGATATTCTTCTCCTTTTTTCTTTTTTTTTTAAAATACATGATCACTTGCTGTATAATTTGTCTCCCTGAATGTACTAGTGGAGAAGGTGGGATTGGTTGCTCTAGCAACCCTCTGCAGAGGTTGCTAGGGGAGTTCCAGTTCGGTGATGTGCATGCAAAAAGATTGCCTGCAATCGCTGACAAAGAAAAAAGAAAAAAAGAAGCCTGCCATTTTCTGTACTGTGGGGACCAGGTGGGGGGAAAAAAAAAACAGAGAGAAGGAGAGATCTCTGGACCATTTTTGTCATTTGATGAGTCGATGGCCTGGAGGCTTGGAGCCTGCTGTTCAGAGGTGATCGCTGGATGGCTACCTTGGTCCACCTTCCTAATGATGTGTAAAGGGTCATGATTTCAGGCAAGTTGGGTGTTGTAAACACAGGCAACCCTTTTTGTGCCAAGTCACTCCATAACCTGGAGAAAGTGCTCTTTCCCCATCCATCTTCCCCCATTCCCATAGGGATCAGAGCATTCTGAACACTGCACTGCCTCCTGATTCTACCCTTGGGTTTCCCTTTCCATACCTGTGCCAGAAGGAACTGGGGGGGGAAGGAGGGGGGAGGAGGGGGCCAGGCCAGGTGTCAGCTGAATGGGACGGAGCTGGAATCTGTAACTCTCATTTCTTTTTTTGCTATGGCACTTGCTGTATCTTTCTTACTTTAACCTATTAAAGCCTTTTTGTCTTTGCCTCCTGAAGTAAGGATTCTTGTCTAGCTTTACTGGGGTTCCTGATACATTTCTTGCCCCAAAAGGTGCTTTTCCAAAAGATAATGTTTAAAATCTTTGTGGATTTTTTTTCCCCTTTGAAAACATTTTACTTCTCATCAGCCAGTTCTGACCGGTTCTAGTGAACCGGTAGCGGAAATTTTGAGTAGTTTGGCAAATACACCTCTGGCTGCCTCCGCCCCCATCTATTTGCTGCCTCCCGAGTCCCAGGTGATCGGCTGGGTCTTCTTCTGTTGCCCTGCAAGGAGAATGGAGCTGGAAAGCAGGTTATTGGGGTGGGGAGGGAATGGGGATTTTGCAGTATCCTTCCCCTGCCACGCCCACCAAGCCACGCCATGGCTACAGAACCATAGTAAAAACATTTTGAATCCCACCACTGTTGTTCATCCAAGAAGCTTCCTCAGTTCTATGAGTTGAAACTGAAGAAGCTTCTTGGATGAGAAGCGAAACGTTTTCAAAGAAAGCCATTGCCTTTTTGGAGGAGTGCCTTTGGGACAACCATGACCTGGATGATTGGGGCTCTCCAAAGACATTTCCATCTTGCCAAGCTGTCTGGGAAGGGTTTTGAATTTCTGTTTACATCACAACGACCCAATAGGCCACAAAGGGAGGAATGCAGAATAATGTTGGCATCTTCGTAGTTTATTCTTTTCTTTTTGCATTGCTCAGAGAAACCAAATCAGTTCCATAGACTTTTTCACTGTTAATACATTATAAATGTGTGCCCCAAATTCCTATTAAAAAAAGACATGAGATGATCTATTTGTGAGTGCCTATGTTTGAAATAAGAATTATTTTAACAAATGGGCTTTGCTATACCTTTTCCTAATATTTAGAAACACGGAGTTTACAGTTCAGTTTTATCTTCCTACTGGCTTGCAGTGATACTTAATGGTATGGTTCCAATAGCATGTTATCTTTTATCTGAATAAGATCAAGGCATTGTTATTTAGAAAGTTGTAAACAATGAAATAACTTAAAAGTCACTGGTGAAGCATTGAGTAGCAAGTAGATGATCCCTTCCCCACCTCATTCTTGAAAAGATACAACTAAAAATCAACAAACTCTGCCTTCAAACTAGTCTCTCCAACACTATTCCCCCACCCAAAGGCCTCTGTTGTCTTGACAAATTATAAAATGAATGATACTCCCTTTTTTACATGAAAAAGTAGCCTTGATCAGCTGCTATTGCAGTTTAGAGATTGATACACTGTAATCAGTGTTAAAAGATGAGGATTGTTTTGATCTGATGCACTGCTGGCAAAATTCATGCATTACATATATTGTGTGTTTGTGTGTGTGTTGTTTACCTTCTAAGAGAAATCTAAATCAGGAGGAAATTTATTTCAAATGTCTGTCCTAGTAGGCATGGTCAATCTTGAGGAATTCTAGGAACTGCCAGCAACATTNCCTAGTCCTTCTTTCTATTAAACTAGACATACCCAGTTCCTGCAACCGTTCTTCATATGTTTTAGTCTCCAGTCCCCTAATCATCTTTGTTGCTTACACCTTATACAAATGATGTCCAAATAGTATATCAAAAGTCACCAGTCTCTTGTGGCTGCTTATTAGGCAGGACTTAAATTATTAAAAGGGAAAATGGAGTTGTGGTCTTTTAAAACCTTTAGAATTAAGAAGGGCTTCCCCCCTCCAATATTATCTGTGAGCGTGGGAATCCTAAGTTCAAGCCTCTCATCTGTAAGGCTTACAGTCTAAAATGAATATTTTGTGAACCAATTTACCATTAAGGATTTATTACGGGGTGAAAAAATAGCGTTGTATAAATGAGTTGGATTTTTTGTTTCTCTTGTGGAAAAGAGTTCTAGAGAAAGGAGTGGGAATGCAATTGTTCCTTGTAGAATGCTATGTTCCATATGGTATGAATAGGAGTGCTAGGAACACTAAATGTGAAAGCTTTAGGAGAGAGAGGGCAGTATAATGGAAGGCATATTTTATTCCATTACAAAATTCAGAGTAATTTGTATCTTGCTCATAAGAGAGATATTTTCAAACTCTGTTCTGCGACACACACACCCGTCCTAGAGGGAGACTGAAGACCACAAAAGAACTTCGTTCAAATACAGTACGGCATCCATAGTCATTTTTCTAACACACTAACAGGAAAAAGGAGTAATCTGGAGGAACAGGAGGAAGAGCTCTTACCTATACAACAGTCAGACCATAGGATCCTGAGTCTGGGACAGAACTGTAACTTGGGAAAATGTCTCAAACAAAACCCTCCCTAGTTCTCACAAAGACAAGAGAGAAGGAGGCGGGGAGAAGCACAGATTTGCAAGGTTCTTTTACCCTTATCCTAATTGGCCTGAATGACTTTGGTTTCCTAGACTGGTGTACTCTGAACGGGTGACACATTCAGGTAGTTCTCTACTGATGACCGGTTGCTTAACAACTGATCCCCCAAAAAGGGACTTTTCACCTGGTTCTGAAGTTCTGATGTTTGGACCCCTCCGCAGTCACGTGGTCAGACTTCTGCTGCTAGGCAACACAGCTGCATGGGTCATTTTTCAGCTTCCCGGGGTCATGTGACCATGTTTTAGGACAGATTTGTGGAATATAACACTTGGTTTTCAGCAAATCTACAACAGTAGTGAACGATTGATCCACTTAACTACTGTCATTTAATGACCACAGTGATTCATTTAAAGACTGCTGCAAAAAGGTCATAAAATGGGTCAGTCGTGTGGCTGACCCATCAAATGTCCCTTAAGACATATAACCAGTGGTGGGATCCTACTGGTTTTAACAACTAGTTTGCTGAGCACGGGCCCAAATCCCACCCCTGCTATAACCCTGATGAACAAGCACCACTAGAGTCTTATGTTGAGAAGTACCTTTACTATGGAAAGAAAGGCCTTGTTCTCCCATGAAGAAATACCATGGCTCCTGTTTGGTGGATTACAGTTTAAAGATTTATTTATTTTTGGAGCAAACAGATTTTGCAGTGCGGAAAAGTTTGAAAAGCCATTAGAATAACTTTATTGTCACTTTGAGTGTACACTAATCGGCATACATGAAAATGATATTTCATTTCATGAAGCTTTCAAAGGGTCACCACCTCCAATATACACTGCATAAACATGACTAAATAAATAAATAAATACAAAATTATGCATATACCCACATACATTATATGACATGGAGAAACAGCAGGGTCTAATTTGGATGCATATATCTACATGGCGAGAAAAACGAATCTTGCGAGTTTACCAGACAGATGGCATAGGGAACTGAGCTGGTACACAACCTGGAAGTCCTGCTAGAAATGCTTAGAAACCTCCTCCCAGAGGGGAGCAACAGAAACAGACCATAAAGTGGGTGTGTGGGGTCTCTCACAATGCTTCAAGCTCTAAGCACATAGGGCTTATAAGCAGTATCCTGAATAATGGGAAGCGAGCTTGCTATAATCATCTCCACTGTCCTTACCACTCTCTGTATGGACTTTCTATCTGAGGCACTGCTGTCACCGAACCAAACAGTGATGCGGTTTGTTAAAAAAAATTGCTCTCAACCGTGCCTCTGTAAAAAGTAGCCAGGACAGAAGGAGAAAGATGTGCCCTGCTCTAGGATACTGTCCTAAAAACTGCAGTGATTAATTTGTATTACATGAGCAAGTAGTAATAACAATTATGAATTAACCGATTTCTTTTTTGTTCCCTCCCCAGTTCTAGGCCAAGGGCTGGAATCCACAGCTTTGCTTTCTCATTCTCTCTGCCCCGCTACCTTAGGGCGGCTACAGAGAGGCCACAGCTCAGGAGTNGTAATGGTGTTTTGTTTTCATTTTTTAGAAAATAAAGAGATGACTTACCTTCTCATCTGTTTTTTTTAGTATTTAGGAGCTGTTGATCTATTATATCTGTAAGTGTTAAATGCATCACAAACTATGGTTTCCTTTTAACCATAGCTTCCTCAACAAGCTACAATTAGTCGGACCTGCAGTTTATTTAAATCATGGTATACAAAGCACCGTGCCTGAGTTCATGAAGTATGCTAAACCAAATCCAGACGCAGAATATTATAATTTAGCCCATAAATTCATCAAAAGCATGCTTAAATACAAAAAAACCTCCAGTGTGGTGTAGTGGTTAGAGCAGTGTTTCTCAACCTTGGCAACTTGAAGATGTCTGGACTTCAACTCCCAGCATTCGCTGGCTGGGGAATTCTGGGCGTTGAAGTCCAGTCATCTTCAAGTTGCCAAGGTTGAGAAACACTGGGTTAGAGTAACTGGACCAGAAGTGGAGAGGTTGAGCAGGGGGTTGGACTAGATGACCTATGAGGTCCCTTCCAACTCTGTTAATCAGGTTTAAATCCCAATTCAGCTCTGCAAATGGGTGACTGTGGGCCAGTCCTTGTCTCAACCAAAGCCTACCTCAAAAGATTGCTGTTTTGGGGGAAATGAGCAGGGGTGGCAAACTGGGGGCCTAAGGGGCCAGGTGCATCACCCACAGGCCACGCCCATCTCAGCTCCACAAAGCTCCACAAAGGGGGGGAAATGTCACGAAATGTCACATGATGGAAACGTGATGCTGCCAAGTTTGACACCCATGTTCTAGAGCAGTGTTTCCCAAACTCGGCAACTTGAAGATGTCCGGACATCTTCAGCATTTGCTGGCTGGGGAATTCTGGGAGTTGAAGTCCGGACATCTTCAAGTTGCCGAGTTTGGGAAACACTGCTCTAGAGCAAGGGGTCTCCAAACTTGGCAACTTTTTAAGACTTGTGAACTTCAATTCCCAGAATTCAGCATGGATCACTTGGCAGCATGGATCACTTGTGGACTTTCACAGGTGGTGCATGGATCACCTGTGAAAGGATTCCTCCCAGGATTCCTCTGGCAGCTTTCTGGCAGAAGAATTGTGGGAATTGGAGTCCACAAGTCTTAAAAGTTTGGAGACCCCTATTCTAAAGGAAAGGCAGATTATGAAATTCATAAAATGTGCGTCCCCTTGACAAGATTTTGGCATTGCTTCGCTTCCTTCCTAGGGCTGAGAGAGGTGTTGGGGGGGGGGGGGGAACTGACCCAAAGTCACCCTGCAGAACTCCTGCCTAAGATAGAAATTAAACTCAGGACCTCCTGCTTTCTGGCCAGCTGCTTTTAACTTCTACACCCAACTAGCTTTCATACAGCTAATAAACAATGAAAGAAAACCGCTTCAGACAACCAGAGAGACTCTCGAGCTAGATCCGTGATGGCAAACCTATGGCACGCGTGCCAGAGGTGGCATGCAGAGTCCTCTCTGTGAACACATGCACCATAGCCAGTTGCTCTTCTGTTTTCTGGTGCACCGGCCAACTGGTATTCCCAGGCGCCGGAAAACAGCCGAAAAACAACCCGAAAAACAGCCTGTTTTTCTGGCCGTTTTGGGGGCTTTCAGGGAACATTTTCTGGGATGTTTTTCAGGGGTCCAAAACAGCTTGAAAACAGCCCAAAAAACAGCCTGTTTTTCTGGCCATTTGGGGACCTTTCAGGGGGGGGTTTCCGGGGTGTTTTTCAGGCCCCAAAACGGCTTGCAAACATCCTGAAAAATGGCCCGAAAAACAATAAAAAAACCCAGCCAAAAACCAGGCATGAGTGTGCCAGCCAGCTGGCCTTCGGGTTTCCGGCGCACACACATGCATGCAGGTGCACATGAGTTCTCGTTTGAGCACTTGTTGCCGAAAAGGTTCACCATCCCTGACCTAGATGAAGAAACCACAATGGCTGTGTTTGTAGAACCCGCTCCGTCTCAGGGAAGAAATCATATTAAAGCTTCGGAGGAGGGCCGGAGTCCCACGGAGAATTACAAATTCTCCCATGGCATTCCGGCTCCGTCAGCTGTGTGACCTGATCTGAATCCAAGGTGGGAGGTGTGGAGAAGAAGGGGTTGGCATCCAGGTACGGAAGAGAGAGGAATCGGAGGAGGGCACTTTCGGAACTCCCGAAGGAAATACGAGACAGAGCTTTCACATATAAATAAGGGCAAACAAGCATTGTGGAATCCCGAAAGGAAAGACAATAATCAATATTTGTGATACAGTAAAAACAACCCTGTGAAGCTCTTAAGGAGCATTTCTAAGTATCTGTGTGATGCGCCCAGGCATCGTTCAGTGGGAAGCCAGGCGCAATGTTGATCAAAGCATCATCCCCCACTCCACTGGGCAGAAGAGAGGGGAAGGAGCTGGGGAACAGGGCCAGCCCCACAGATTGCAGATCCCACAGCCGTGTTTTGCAAACTTTTGCAAGTTTAGGATATGTTGACGTCAACTCCCAGAATTCCCCAGCAAGCCATGAGGGAACATCAAATCCCAGAATTCCCTGGTCAATATATGAGGACTTCAACTCCCAGAATTCCCCAGCCAGCATGCATGGACTTCAACTCCCAGAATTCCCCAGCCAGCATGCACAGATTTAAACTCCCATAATTCCTCAGCCATCATGCATGGACTTCAACTCCCAGAATTCCCCAGCCAGCATGCACAGATTTAAACTCCCATAATTCCTCAGCCATCATGCATGGACTTCAACTCCCAGAATTCCCCAGCCAGCATGCACAGATTTAAACTCCCATAATTCCTCAGCCATCATGCATGGACTTCA